TCGAAGGAAAAGAAAAAGATGCGCATGCGCGGCGGATAATAATTTAATCAACCGAAATATACCGATATACGCGGCTCGTTTAGGCCAAGAGAGTTCTTTTGTGACTCGTGAACAATGCACTTTGAACCATCCAACCATCCGTCCATTAGTAGTATTTTAACCGTGCCACTCACAGTCAATGAATTCGTTTAACGTTCCACGTAATCCTTTGTAATCTGCTTTCCACGCAGCTCACGCTCGACCAACATGGCGGCCATGTTCGAAATAAGCAGCAGGAGAGGAGTCTTTCGAGAGTCTATCGCTCGTTCCAGTTCTGGCTCTCTTTCTCGTGAATTGAAATTAATTTAAATCCCATACAATTCGCGTGGAACGCGTTCACTTGTTCGATATTTCTTCCTCTTTCCCCTCCCCACTCCTTCTTCTTGTTTAGCTACGAAAATAAGCGAGAAGTTTGCCGCGAAGAAAAAAGAACGGTGTGCAAATCGGGGGAAAAATTTCAATGGAAAGTTAAATGCCTCGTCGTTGCATTATTGTTTCTCGCACAGTTTTTTTCTGATCGCCGGTGAAGGAAGGGCGCCGCGTTGGTGGCAACCCTTGTTTGAAAAGAAAAGGAAAGGAAAGGAAAGGAAAAAGGAAAAAGAGATTCTTAGATGAAGGAGAGAGATAAACAGTTTTAAAATAATCGTGGATATGAAGAGGCGTGAGAATGGCTCTCGGGAAAATATCGCGACGCTGCCTTGGAAATTCAACGTGGAGTTCGACGATAATAACGTTCTGACTTGTAAATTGTACAGCCAGCTTTCGTTCCGTTGTGTACGTGTTGGCCAAACTTTATTCGTCCACATTCTTATATTCACCCTTGTTCCCTTTTTTTCTCCCATTCAGAGATTATAGTTAAAGCGAAAAGGTAACAACTTGGTTGTGTGTAGGTTAGGTTACACTTATCTTCGTAAAACTGAGTATTCCATCGGTGAGTATTGCTTATTTTTTTTATCAAATTTACCTTCCCCCCCCCCCACGTCGAAACGAGCGACGAAAAAACGCGCAAATGTTCCCCGAAAATATTAAAATACATACTCGATCGATCCTATCATCCTACGTCGATGAACGCGTATCGTTGAAATCAGTGATTCTCAACTCTCTTCTCAACGATTTAAAAATTTAAATAGGCAAGATAAATTGAAAGAATTTTATTCGGTTTATTATTCTCAGTCGATCGATTATTCGCAGTGGCTTTATAAAAAAATTTTTTTCGAGAAGGGGCTAATTTTATAAATGTAAGAAATTATATTTATTTACTCTTCCGGCAGAGTCGATTGGCAAAGAAAACTTAAAAAAAGAAATAATTTTCAATTCGAGAGGAGTTGAGAACCATTGGTTTAAATAATGACGTATTCGTTATTCCCTGTTCGAGTATTTCATACGTTCGTTGTAAATAGGAAGAGGATAATGAGTTCACTGCTCCCCCACCTTCACCCGTTGAGTGTTTCAAATACGCTCCTCTGATTAAATTTCGCAAATATAGTCACTTTATACACCCCCAAGACATCGACAATCTATTCTCATCGTGCGACAGCTCTATCGTAGAGAAAGCGAAATTCACGTCCACGGAATCGTCCACGGAAACCGTTGTTAAAAATGCCATCGTTCCCAGAAAGGTATCATTCTCAAAATTTTCCAAAAATTGAAAAATCAAACGAATTCATTCAATCAAAATCGTCTTTAATGTTATATCCAGGTGGTTTCGTTCGGCGGGCAATTGTCGCCGCCATTAGAACACGCGAGGCGTCGCAACAAGGAGAAATCGACGTGTTTATCGACCGAAGATTCCTGCGTTGCCAAGTCTTATTCCGAGTCCTATTCCGTCTTCCTCGAAAACGGCACCAACGATGGTACAATAAGCGACGAGGTATACGAAAGAATTCTAAAAACCATCTACTTCTCTTCCTTTTTTATCCAGTCGCCATTTCATATTATCACACGTATATACTCATATAAGTATATACATTACATTCCAAGAACTGTCCGATCGATAAACCTTCTTAAATACGTTGCTCGAAAAACTTCTCTCCTCGAAAATGAAAGAACGTTTTCCCACCAGCGCAGCAACGAGAGATCGAGACACAAGTGTAACTCGTCATGGGAGTCTCTGCGCGATAGCGAGAGGAGGAAGGAGAGGAAGGGGGAAGAAAGCGAGAAGGAAAATTCGAACGTTTGCTGCCGGAGGAGGGACGGGCGGAGAAGAGCGGAGACGTTGGAGGAGCTGTTCTCGTTGACGGATATCATGACGGACGAGAAACGCAACAGTTTGTACACGCTTTACAAACGGTCCCAGGAAAATTCGAAGAACGGTATGTTGACGGAGGTGGAGAAGATCCAATTGGCGACGACCAGCTCGGAGAACGGCGGCAAATTCGTCGAGTCGAATCTGTGGAAGCACGCTTTGCTCGCGAATCGATCGTCCAATAATTTCTGCCCCGCCAACAACTCGGCCACTCGCCACCAAAACGACGTGCCCAACTACACGCGTTACACGAACGAGAAGTACACGTTTCTGAGGAAAGGGAACGCCACGAATAATTTCAAACGGATCGTGCGTCTGCGCAGCACGGCCAACTTGCTCGATTTCAATAATCGTTGGATAAAGGGCACGTGAAAGAACGGCTCTGTGAAAGAATTCCTCGGTAGGAGGTTCGAAGTTGCACACGAGGGGAAAAGAGTGCAAATTTTTAAGTGCAATAAAGCGGAAGTAAATAAATGAGAAAAGTGTGATTTTTGTTATAGTTGAACGAAAAAAAAAAAAGAAGAAAAATTTTTAAATCTCTCGACGAGATTGCCCTTCTTTTCTTCGAATTTTCATCGGGAAGGATAAATTTATCGTGAATCGCAAATTGAAATTGTTGGCCAGGTACGATTTCGATGATATCGAAAGCAAACTCGATCGATGGCTCAAACTTGATCATACGAGCACCTTCGTACATTCTTGCTCTTTCAACCAAAATACATCGCCGCGAAATTTCCGCAGGAAATTCAGCTTCGGTTGTGTTTTAATCGGAATAAAAGTAATTTTAAAACGGATTGGAATCTTGCGATCCTCGAAATCCATCTCTCGATTTTTATTTATTTATTTATTTTTTTTTATTTGCTAAAACTTCTCCCCTCTCCCATCGTAATTATTCCATACGGCCATAAACGGAGACTCGATCTCCTTCCCCTCCCCCTTCCCCCATTTTTCATTTACAGAATAATCAAACTTTCGCTGGCCGGCGTTTCAATTTCAAAACTTTTATCCTTATCCAATATATGAAAAATCCGGAGAAATTGCAGCATACGTGTCCCGAACGTTAACGAAAGTCACAGTCACGGATCATTAACCCGAGTCGATGTACACGTAGCGTGGCGTAATAGTCGTTAAAAAAAGCCATTTGGAAAAAGTTTATTGCCGTTCAACCAACCGAGCCGTTCGTTATATTCGATACGCTTGATCCCATCGTCCGTAATTAAATTTCCAATTCAGCAGCGAATTCTTTTTTCGAGCTCGAGAACGATCGACGATCGAAATAATACTCGTTTGCGTTTACATGAGAGAGGGAGGGGAAAAGGATAGGATCGGTAATTGACAAGTAGGAACGTGAAAGCTTGCGAAAAATTGGGAATTCCAAAAAAAAAAAATTGATATTCGTCACGCATCTTGAATGCACCGATCGTTTATTCGCGTATAGGCGTTAGTACGAGGCGTCTGCAATCCACGAGTTGATTAAGATCGTCGTTAAAATTAATTGATTAATTGCTATATATTATTTTTCGATAAACTATTTCTTAAATAATAAATTGTACTTTTTATTCCGATAATTTAATATGGCCGTTGTTATATAAGATGCTATAGGAAACTTTTAATTTCTGTGGTCACCTAAAATGAACGAATTTTCTTCCCCTTCAGTCGTAATGAAGCAACCAATCTTCGTTGCTGTAGAGGCGCTGATCCTTTTCAAGATATTTAATATTATTTACCAAATACAATATTTAAATATTTCTATCGATTCATCGGATGGTACACTGTTAATAACAAATATACATACTTTATGTGATATAAATTTTCTCGATAAATTTTCTTTTTTTCTTTTTGTCTAATCGATAATTTTCAGGAGAAGCCATAAAATATAATCAAGATTTTGAATTTGCAGGCAAAAGAGAAAGAGAGAGAAAAAAATAGGAATTTGTAATTAAGAAAAGGAAAATCGAAAGATTTCCACGTAAAATACGATAACATCGGTTTGTTTGAAAATGATTTACGTCGATAGAGTGGTGTTATTACACTACGCGGACCGGTTTGGGAATAGGTAACCGCGGATCTAAAGTTTAATTCATTTCGCAATTTCCAGGCATGTCAAGGGCAGTGCATGTGTGCAAAATTAGTTTGCGCTACGGTATGCGTATATATAGCATATGCATCACGGGAAAATTTGTATTATCCTGTGTAAACTATATTTCATTTAAGGAGAGATCCCAGAGATAATATTCGAATCGAGGAATCTAAAACACGCTTTTCTTTTTCCATGCTTTTCGAAAATCGAGCGGATCTCGTTTCTAAAACTTTCTTTCAAACTGATAGGAATATAATATATCGATAATTTTTGGGTTAAAAAAAAAAACAAGAAAAATATAAATCGTAAGCGAATATTACTCAAATTCTAATGAATTATTATGAATAGGGATCTGCGATGAAAATCATTGATATAAAAGAAAAAAAAAAAATAACTAGTAACAGTTATTAGCGTTCAAAAATCATCCTCGTGAATCGATGAACGAGAACAATTTCGATCGCTCGTAACAAAGATCGAATTTTTTCTCACTTTTCTCGTATTAATTATCATCGATGAGAAGATATTAATCGATGGCTCGAAAGCCTGCGAAAAATTTCAAATCTCTACTGAAAATATTTCGCACAAAACGAGAATCAACAGATCGTACGAACGCAAAACGCGAAATTCGTTTATTAACTCGTCTTTGTTTTCATGCACGACTTTTCGTTCCGCTCGTATGCGCACGTACGACTGTTTACATTTTCTTCGTTCTATATAGCGGACGCGTGCCAGGAAAGCCGGCAGTCGAGTTTACGCTTCCGTTCGACTCGGTCGTTCTGTTCTCTCGTCGAGTTATTGTCGTTACGATTGTTACAATTGTATTAACAGTTAATATTATTTTCTATTAAAATGCTTTAATAAGTAAATATAATTTTTGAGACGATTAAAAAATATAACGAGAAAAATAATTGCAAATACATTATCTCGTCACTCTCGAAATGAATTATTATAAAGAGAAATTTATACAGCGGGTAACGAAAGTATTCGAACGCTTATATTTTTGATGAACGAAAAAGAAAAAAGAAAAAATTATAGAAATATGGAATTTCATCGATTGTAATTACAAAATCACGTATGAGACAAATTATTACCACCAAAGATGGTCCAACAAATATAAGTATCGACGCCTTTTCAATAACCACGTAATAAGGGAAAAAAAAAAAGAAATTAAATTAAAGATGTAACACCGATTTCGAAGAAAGAAGAAAACCTTTTAAATTTATCTCGAGTAATAAGGAGCGTGATACGACGAAAGGGACGGACGGGATGCTCGAAAGAGGAGGGAAGATTTTTCTTCTTCCCTCTCCGCTTGGGAAAAACAGAAAAAAGAGAGGGAAAAAAATGAAACTCGATATAAACAAAAGCGCTCGACGAGACACCCGATGCGTTTATCGTAATTGGTTGGAAACTAGCAGTTTCCAACGGAGAGAGTTCACCTCCGTGCTCCCCCCTCCCCGTTAATACAATGAAATTCCTCGTGTCTTGGATCGTTCGTTCGTTCGTTCGTTTCGATCTCGAACCGGGTGGATAATTGTAGGGTGGAAGTGGCGGAAATAGGTCGAGGAGACGGCTGGATGGAATATAATTCTGCACGGGTTGGAAGGAAAATCGGTGGAAAAATAAGAAAGTCACGTTCACGGGTATCAATTCGAAGATTTTATCAGCGCGGGGGCGCTGGACAGATCCGATCTATCTATCTGTAACGTTTTCACTTAGTCACCTCCTCTCACGCCTCCTATCTCATTCGCATTCCTTCGCGAGCACAACCTATCCCACCCGCGCCATATTGCGCGAATATCGATGCTTCCCTTCTGAAATCGCTCACTTTTTTATCTTTCCACGTATATTTTTTTTTTCCTCTTTTCTCTCTTCTCCTTTCTTCAACGAATGTTTCAACGAGGATCGAATATAAAAATTTCGAAGCTTATATCCGTTGAGTAATTGTATTCTATAACGAATACAATGCAAATACTTTTTCCTGGCCTATCATAAGAATCTTCCCTTTTACTTATCGATGCATTTAAAAAATTGCATTTCCAAATCACCGAATTTTGATTCTACTTCACAAGAAAACTCATCTATTCGATTATATTGGAAACAATATCGTCGAAATTCCGAAAGGAAGCTTTGATCGTAAACGTTGGAACGTTAAATGGAAAATTCGGTCGGTCCTGTTAAAAACAGAGTCGTGTCATAAACTCGATTCGATATCTTTAACGGTAGGATCGAGGATCGAATTTAAACGACGGGGACGATGCCACCCTCTCCTCCCGCGAAACGAGACTAACAACTTTTGTCCAGAGCGTACTGAATTTAACGGCAGCTCGCTCCTTCAACTTTCGCCAACTCTTCCCCTCCTCCAACACGTCAGAAAATTCGTTGTTTCCGAGTCGGAATCAAAGCAAACGTCCATCCGTTCGTCAAAAAAAAAAAAATTTATTAACGCGTTGCATAAATATTTTTTCGCGATTCCAAATTCCTCTAAAAAAGATGAAATTTATTTGATTTCGATATCGTGCTCCTTTTAGAAT